ATTTACATTTTATTATGTGCTCCAAAAAATATATATATATCGTTATATATTTTTAAGCTATATATAAATGGCATCACACTTTAATTGAGCCTTTTGTAAATTACTTTTAATACTCAGCATTTTAAGAATTTTTTTTCGAATTGCTATGTTAAAATCCAGTTCATTTTTTTGACTGCTATAAAGTATCCCACTAAAAGACTATACCGTACATGTTTCATTCCTTTGTTGAAGCACAGTTCGTTTGCAAGGTTGTTTGCTATTTGTAACATTGTGAACATCTTTCTCCACTTATAAGAGTTTCTCTAGATCTGTACTGCACTGTATGGTAGCCACTAGCTTAAAATGTGGTTAGTCAGGGCCGGGCGCAGTGGCTCACGCCTGTAATCCCAGCACTTTGGGAGGCCAAGGCAGGAGAATCACAACGTCAGGAGTTCAAGACCAGCACGATTAACATGTTGAAACCCTGTCTCTACTAAAAATACAAAAGTTAGCTGGGTGTGGTGATGGGCACCTGTAATTCCAGCTACTCAGGAGGCTGAGGAAGGAGAATCACTTGAACTGGGAGGCAAAGTTTGCAGTGAACCGAGATAATGCCACTGCACTGCGCTCCAGCCTGGGCTACAAAGTGAAACTTGGTCTCAAAAAAAAAAAAAAATGTGGTTAGTCGGAATTGCAATGTGCATAAATGTAAAATGCATGTCACATTTTAAAGACTTAGAATGAAAAAAATGGACTATCTCATTAATAATTGATATAGGTTATACTCATTACAGGTTAAAATGACACTCTTTTGCATATATTATGTTAAATACATATATTACTAAAATTATTTTTTCCCATTTATTTTACATTTTTAAAATGTGGCTACTAGAAAATTTAAAATTATATATATGGCTTCCATTATATTTTCTCTTGGACAAGACTGGTCAAGACCAGGAGTCAGTAACTGATTGCCCACATGACAGCCATCTGTTTTTGTAAATAAAGCTTTATTAGAAAACATGCCACTAATTTGTATGGTGGCTTTCCAGCTACAATAGCAGTGTTATGTAGTTGCAACAGAGTCCGTATCGTTCATGAGCCTAAATTATTTACCATCTGGCCTTTTAAGAAAAAGTTTGTTGACTCGTATTCTAGAGCAGTAATTTTTAACCTTTTTTAAAAAAACCATGACCCACAGTAAGAAACATATTTAATATCATGACCCAACAAACACACATATCTGAAACAAAAGTTTTACAAAACGAAGTTTCACAAATCCTTTCTATATATTTTCATATTTTCCATTTCTATTTTATTAAAATAAACTGCTGGTCAATAAACTGCTAGTGACCCACTAAAGTGACCTAGCCATTCATTCATTACTAGTTATCCAAGTGGCGCTGCTCAAGGATATATATCCAAAAATAGAGTAACTGGATTATAGGAATGTGTGTATTTAAGTTTATAAGATTAATCACATTGTTGTCCTGTGTGTGAGGTTACCAATCTACAGTCTCACAGACAGTGTAAGAGAGTTTCTATCTGCCTATATCTTTAGCAAAACCTGATCTTGCCAGTCCAATCTGATAGGTATGAAATAAAATCTTGTTTTATTTATAATCAGATCATTCACAAATGTAATCAACTTTTCATGTGTTGAGTGGCCTTTCATGTTCCATTTGTGAGTTGCTGGTTCATTTCCATTGCCCTTTTAAAAATTGAGTCGTTTGTCTGTTTCTTAGATTTATAGACACTTTTTCTATTCTGTATACCAATACTTTTGTTAGTTATGTGGGTTGCAAAGATGTGAGTTGGCCACTCCAAGGATTGTTTTGTTCACTTTTTTTTTTTAAACAGAGTTTCACTCTGTCACCAGTCTGGAGTGCAGTGACACATTCTTGGCTCACTGCAACCTCTGTCTCCCCAGTTCAGTTGATTCTCCTGCCTCAGCCTCCCGAGTAGCTGGGACTACAGGCATGCACCACCACATCCAGATAATTTTTGTATTTTTAGTAGAGATAGGGTTTCACCATCTTGACCAGTATGGTCTTGATCTCTTGACCTCGTGATCTGCCCACCTTGGCCTCCCAGAGTGGTGGGATTACAGGTGTAAGCCACCACGCCTGACCCTTTTTCACTTTTTAATGGTGCCTTTTATTTTATCAGGCAGAAGTTTTAAATTTTAAAATAGATTTATCTATCTTTTTCTTTATATTCCTATTTTTTAGCTCTTATTTTAAAAATTATTTCATACCCCAAGGTCACAAAGTTTTCTCTGCTATTTTTTCGGATGAATTTAAAATTTAGTGGGTGCTTCTTTTCTGTTGAAAATTTGTGTTTCTATATGGCATGAGATATGTCTCTACTTTCTTTTCTTCATAACATATATATATATATATACACACACATATATATATACATACATATATATATATGTATATATATATATATATATAGAGAGAGAGAGAGAGAGACTGTTTCACTCTGTCACCCAGGCTGGAGTGCAGTGGCACCATCTTGGCTCACTACAACCTCCGCCTCCTGGGTTCAAGTGATTCTACTGCCTCAGTCTCCCAAATAGCTGGGATTACAGGCATGTGCTACTATGCCCAGCTAAGCTTTTGTATTATTAGTAGAGAGGGGTTGCCCCGTTGGCCAGGCTGGCCTCAAACTCCAGACCTCAAGTGATCCACCCACCTTGGCATCCAAAAGTTCTGGGATTATAGGAGGGAGCCACCATGCCCAACATCATTTTATAATTCTAATTTAAATTTTATACCCAAATTGGACAAGGACGGGACAAGAAAGAAAAAGTATGGGCTAACCTGTATTTGAATGAAAATGTAAAAATCCTAAATTAAATATTAGTAAAACTGAATCCAATAATATATAGTAAAATAAGTTCATGCAACATGTGCAAGCATGGCTTAATTAAGAAAAGCTATTAACATAACTCATCACATTCACAGAGTAAAGGAAAAACATGATAGATTTTTTCCCATAGATTTAGAAAAGGCATGTGATAAACCCTAATAGACACAAAATGATTGTAAAATACAAAACTCTTAGAAAACTTGAAGTAGAAATAAACATCCTTACCCTGATAAAGAGCATCTACCAAAACCTATAGCAAACATACACTTAGTGTTAAAGCATCCCTTGTACTGCCTATATGTGGAGTTCCCTCTTTGTATCTGGCACCTGAGAATTTTTCTTTATTTTAGTCTTGGCTGTTACTTTAAGTATTGTGTGTGTGCATATGTATGTGAATATATATATATGCTCATACATACACATATTTATGTATTTTTTAGTTTCATCTATCTCCATACATTTCATGAAGTTTGTGGAATGGGAAACTGTGTCAGCTCCATAGCTATGGTGTTGGAGTTTCTCCCTTAGTGATTTTCTGGGCCTGAAGATCAAGAAACTCTAGAGACCACTATGGAGGGGGCAAAGTAGTGGGATAGCCACAGAGCTGACTTCTCTCCTAGACTGAGGATTTGTTATGCGTAACTTTATATCCTGGCTTCCCTTGGAGAAAACTATTAGTGATGGGTCTGATGTGGATATAAGAATATTGTAAGAAACTGTCTTTGATTTCATTTTGCCAGGAGGTTAGATAAAGATCAGCTACTGCCATAGCATTGCCTAAGGAACTGATATTTTCAAGATTCCCACAGCGATACTGAGATACAAAGATAAAGATTAGTTGTAACATTGCCGTCACTGTCACACTTTATTTGACAGCTTTAAAACATTTTTTAAAGATGATTCTAAGAATTGGGAGTGGGGAGAGGGACGTGTTTTCTAAGGACCACTTTCTGTGATAGCAAACAAACTTTAAACTCTTCTGTTAATAAACAAGGGATTCCTGTGACTATAAAAATTAAAACAGGGCCTGGCAATGTTGAACACAAAGAACAGCCAATACATTCCTGACTGTAAGGTCAAGTTCATTACATAAGACAATTCTGATGCCAAATCAATACTGTATTGTGTGTTTACCAAAGCAGATATTGTGATATGGATCTACTGTAGTAGGAACAGGAATGTCATCAGGAAATATCAGTTCAGACAAATGTGGGTTTCTACCAACAGGGAAAGAGCTGGACCTAGTGTGATCTGTCTCCCTTCATGGTGAAAATGTCAGGTCAGAAGTGAATATTCATGTGGCCCTTGGAAAGTGAGAAGGAGAAATCAATAAGCTAAACACACAACCTAATAATAGAACTGTTTTCTCCAATGTGAGTATTTTTCTCTTGAAGTTGGTATTTCTGTCCTTGATCTGTTGGTGATGCTATTTAGAGATGCAACAAAAGATTTCACAGAAAAGCAAAAGGTGGATTCCATTGTTCCGGAATATCGGTTATGTCAACTTGGTTCTATCTAAGCATGTCACTGGAAGTCTGGTTCACATTTAAAGTTTTCCTTAATTCCAAGAAACAATGTAGACCCTTTGAAGTTTTGGCAAAAGAGTACCAGGCAAAAACGAAAAAAAAAAATCCCGCTTGTAAAGGCCTAGTTTGCAATTCATTTGTCCTGGAATCTTGCAAAAACAACCCAACCTTTGTATATCTCTGTACATTGGTGTGTATGGTAATGTTTTGATTTCTATACATTGGTGTGTATGATGATTTTTTATTTCTATACATCAGTGTGTATGATAATGTTTTTATTATTTTTTGTAGAGATTTTACACAGGATATAATAGGTGACACAAATGCTTTGGCAGATGGGGTCAGAATATGGAAGCAATTCCTTCCATATAAGAATTCTGGTTCTTGTTTAAATTTAATAGTCGCTTCTCCTAACCACACTCAGGAAGTCTCCTGTCATTCATGTGCTGCATAAGTTCCTGAAGAGCCCCTCTACTGTCTCCCCAAAATCTTTTTTATTTAATAAACTTGCTGACATTGGCCAGGTTTCAAGAGTGTAGTAGGTTCATGATCCATCAGCCTGGTTTCTGAATGGAACCCAAATGAGTTATTTGTATTGTTTGTTCCTACCTTTTCCAGGCACCTTTTAAAAATGAACAAGAGCAGCTCTGATTTGGAAAAAGTGAGCCAGGGCTCTGCAGAGAGCCTCAGTCCGTCCTTCAGGGGTGTCCACGTCAGCTTCACCACCGGCTCCACAGACAGCTTGGCCTCAGACTCCAGGACCTGCAGCGATGGAGGTAACAAACTTGATCTTGACCAAGAGGCTTAGATTCTCCTGGACCTGCAAGGCCAGTCCTGGGTTGCTTGCAGGATTTGAAAGGGCTGAGCAAGGACTTGGTCCTGCTTTCTCCATGAAGTGGACTTTTCCAAGGAGCTGTTGAAGTCAGTTACCTACTGAATATATGGCAAGCCAGCCCATTCGTATTGCCTTCTCTAAATGATAAGTGTGTGGACATGGCAACATGGTGAGAGGAAGATGAGGTTGAAAAGTTCCTGTTTCCCTGGGTAAAGAGCCATCTATGTTCAGGTCTGCTTTCTACTTCTGTCCTCAGGATTAGTCCTAATCCACACATTCTCACCATCTCTTTCTCTCTCTTTTGCATGTACATGTGCAAGTACACACATGTGCTTACTGAACACAGCAGATGTTTACATAATGTTTGCTGAATTAAGCATGAAGACTTCATTAGGCCACCATCTAGGCTGCTTTTTGGATTAAGTTCTAAGGCCTGTGGGTGGATGTGCCCTCCATCGAGAATGTCCCTAAAACGGAACTCTTGTTTTTCCATAGTTGTGACCTGGATGGGTCACATTTAAAGTCTCTCGCCCTTTCAGCATTCTTTGTGTATCTGTCCTCTCCTGTATTTCTCTTAGACATGCGTTGGCCTGTTGGATTTAGACTTGTACCCACATGACTTCCTTTCTCACTCCTGTGGAGGTATTTCTTCTCAATAGGCAATGACACGGTAGAGGGTTCCATTGTAAATTTACTGTCAGCAACATTTTTCTACCTAAACGATAGGTACTGGCTAAGACAAAAGTATGTGTGCTAAGTCAGTCTGCGGTGTGTTCTGATGAGAAACCTCTGACAGCTCTTACTTAAAAACAGGAAATATCTTAGTCTTGATTTTGGAGGAATGTAGCAACAACAGATTTTCTTTTACTGTAGATTTTTCTAGGCTCTTATCTTCTCCCTTTTCCCAGCCCATTGTACAACAAATTCAACAAGGCAGATTATTTCAGAGGGGACAAGGCATCTCGACCACAAGCCCCTGCGCTGGTTAGCTCTGATCCACTCACTTGGAGACTATAACCAGGTCTCGGGAGTGATCTACAATGAACCATCAGCCACCAGCCAGCGGGTGTCAGGAGAACTGGGCTTCATGCCTTCACCACCTTGTTTTCCAGAACCAGTAAATCATGGTGTCTGCTTGCAGGGTTTCAAAGAATTAACTAGGAAAGATAAGGTTAAAACACATGACAAGTGGGTGGGTGGGATAAGGTAGGACATTGAGCAGCCCAGAAGGTGAGTGCTTCTTACAAAGCCTTCCAGAAGAGAGAGAAAAATCAGTGAAGGCTGATGGAGGGTTTGGAGAAGGTGTTATGGGAACATGGGACTTAGAGATCATGTCTGAAATGTGGTCAGAATTGGGGAGGTAAGGAGGACAGGGCTTTCCAAGGTCAGAAAATAATAAAAGAGAAACAAAGCCACAGGGATAGCAGTGCATATGGAAGAAGGATGAGACCAGTCTGACACGCTTCAACAGACACCGGCAAGGGGAAATGGGACATGAGCTTGGTGGGAAGCAGGGGCTCAATTGTACATGGCTCTCACAGCAATCTGTGCAGGTGGGAGACAGAGAGCTGCTGGAGGTTTGTGAATTCAATGGGGAAACCTCTTCAGACATTTTCTCATGTTCGTTTCTGAATAGCATGAATTAAAATGAATATATTGCCATGGTATTCCTTTATCACAAGCTAGTTGTTCAGTGGAAATGCCCTTCAAAACTTGGACTCCCAGATCAACAAGAAGATATGTACCTTGTCAGTGGACTCTGGCCCCTGAGATCGAGCCATTTCTACCTGTGTTCCTGGGCTTGGCTCTGTACCCGGAATCATGTTTTGAAACTGGCAAGAGACCAAAGGCATGACATTCTCTCTCTCTCTCTCTTTCTCTCTCTCTGTCTCTCACTCTCTCTTCTTTTTGGCATCGTTTAAACATTAATCATTAATCTGGAGAATATATAGAACCACTGGTCGTATATGAGAAATCCTTAATTCACTTCTCACCACTTACCAAGGCAGCTTAAATCTGTTATTGTACAATTATCTTACAATCCCATGGGTCCTTAACTCACTTTTATCTTGTAACTGAAATATTTACCCATTGCAACTTTGGTGACTATTTGGCCTGAGAGAATGGATCCAAATAGAAAGCAGAACCAGTTCACACTGAAGTTCTTTGAAAATTGACTGCATTGTCTGCCTTTCTAAGATTATACATTAAGCCAAAAGACATCATTAGACTCTACATTTATTTTGTCAGTAAGAATCTACTAGTGAAAACTATGCATTTCATTGACTTTTTTCATACACAGCATAGGCTGGCCTGAATGAGTTGAGGAAAAAGTCATTCCAGGACATCTTGGAATTGTATCAGGGTTAATGGCTACAGTTAGTGATTCAGGTTTTATGCCCCCCACCACTCCCCCACAAAAACAGGTTTACCTTGTATAAGGAAAACCTAATAGAAATCTCTAACTTTGTTACATTTTTTAAACAGATGTTTACTCTAAATGCTACAGTGGCAAAATGCCACTTTTGTAGCAATGTTAATTTCACCTCTTTATACTTGTATCGGATTTCATATTCCTCCAGTGCATCTGTTATCCCATTTGTCCAATTCAATTGAACAGGCAGTCAACTCAGTGCAAGTAAAATTTGTCGAAGCAGTTGTTTGGTTTATGCTTGGTTTGGGGACAGACTGCATGTGTCAGGACAGATCCGTGAAGGCTGCCAAGGGGAAGGTTTCTGTAGGGAATGAATAGGTTGGATGTGTGAGGGAAATGATGATCAGAAATGGTCATCAGGAGACCCTTTTGCTTTAAGTGGTTACTTGTAAACCTGCAAACCTAATGTCTCATTGAGATCATTTCCCTCTTTGATGTAGGATAACATTAAAATTCAATTCAGCAGTTCAGCAAACATTTCTGAATGCCAGGAGATTAGGGAGATTAGAGAGTTCTCTGTTGAACTGAAACCATTGGCACCAGCAATAGATAAGAGATCTGAAAATACGGTTCATATAGATATTCTCACTCACATGAATACATGTACCAGGGTGGTGATATCATTCTTATTTTTATAGCTGGCAAACCAGAGATATAGGACACGAATTAAAATATTGACAGTCGTCAGTCAGCTTGTTTTTCTCAACAAGCTACTACTGGCAAATTTTTAAAATATGTATATTAATTCAGTCATTCATTTTATAGATATTGTTGAGTACAAACTCTGTGCTGAGTACAATTCCAGATGCTGAAGTTTCAGCAATGGAAATGATTCCCAGTCCCTTCAAGGGGCTTACATTCTGGTAGGGAGAGATAGACAATAAGACAGATAAGATGTAAAGTAGCTACTGGTCACAGGGCAGTGAGTGCTGGTAGAAAAATCAGGCCAGGAACAGCGTGGAGAGGGGTGGGAGTGCCCCAAAGGAAAAGACATTTATTTTTTAAAATTTCCTGTGGCCTGAGCTATAATATCACTGAAGTAAAGCTTCAACTTAATTTAAACCTTCCCTGTTAAACTGAATTTTAAAACATATGTTATTGCTCCGATAAAGTTAATACTTTTTTTTATTGTACTTTAGGTTCTGGGGTACATGTGCAGATCATGCAGGGTCGTTGCACAGGTACTTACATGGCAAGGTGGTTTGCTGCCTCCATCTCCCGTCACCTTTATCTGGCATTTCTCTTTCTCCCCATGTTATCCCTCCCCAACCTCCCCACCCACTGCTGTCCTTCCCCTAGCCACCCCTTCAACAGACCCGTGTGTGATACTCTCCTCCCTGTGTCCATGTGTTAATATAGTTTTAATAAAAATTCAAACAACGGAGAAAGGTATAAAATGAAAAGTCAGTTTTCTGACACCCCATTCCCAGCTCCTACCACAACTTTTAAGATTTTTTTCTGTATAATCCCCAAAATGTGTATACATATGTCAAATACAAAATTCAGTTCTACACATTTTTGCACTTAATATATCTTGAGGCCTTTCCAATCAGAACCCCTAGGACTGCCCCACTTTTCAAAATTGCTGCTTATTTTTTCATTGCATGAATTGGTTATAAATCCTCCTGCTGATGCATGTCTAGGTTGATTTCATTGCAAGACTTACAGTAAGACTCTATGCCATACATTGGCATGATCGGGTGAGCAAATCTATAAGATAAATCCTTAGAAGAAGTGGAACTGACATATCAAACTGTATGTGTATGTTACAGATAATATCAATGTATCCTCTAAAAACGTCAATTTACTTTTCTATTAACAGCATCTAAACAATGCGTCTTTTTTGGAGACAGAGCCTTGCTCTGTTGCTGAGGCTGGAGTGCAGTGGCGCAATCTCTGCTCATTGCAAGCTCCACCTCCAGGGATCAAGCAGTTCTCCTACCTCAGCAGCTAGGACTGCAGGCGTGCCACCATGCCTGGCTAATTTTTGTATTTTTAGTAGAGATGGAGTTTCGCCATGTTGGCCAGGTTGGTCTCAAACTCCTGACCTCAAGTGACCTTCCCACCTCGGCCTCCCAAAGTGCTGGGATTATGGGTATGAGCCACTGCACCCGGCCTGGAAAGTCCTTTGAATTAACTTTTAATTTTACTAACTTGGAAGGAAACCCTTAATGATTGTTATAACAGGAGATTGAAAGATCACAATTCCAGAACCACATGTGAGCTATAGGCATGGCATTCAGGGTACCTAGATAGACTCTGTTTTCCAAAGTGAGACAGAGCTTTCTCTTCTTTTGCATGTAAATCACATTCACATCTTGATTATTGTTTCCTGGGATGATTAAGTGGTCTGGAAAGACTCCTCAGGAATGCCACATTTTCCATCCAGTTGTAAAATGCTAATAACCTGCTTCCAGTTTCAGACCACGTTTATCTTCTTGAAAAAAGCAAAGGATTCTTTTAAATAAAGGCATTGCTTTTTTCTTTCTTTCTTTCTTTCTTTTTTT